ACAAGTTGTACATTTCATGGCAGTATGATATACAGTACTCATATGCACAATTAAGAGAGTCTTCTCCCATCTTGTAAAACAAGGTGGGGTTTTGTGGCCCTTCAGATGTTGTTGAACTGCATAGAGCATGTGTCATCATCTTATAGAATTCCTGTTAATAGTATTGCTTTTATGACATATGTTCTGGGATCTACTGCCTTTACATATCCCAGAAAACAAGACACAGTTGGGTCTGATTGCGCTAACTCTGCATTGTTTATTGGCGATTCAGTCTGCAGTATTTAGTTGGTCTTTTGAGATCCAGCTATCTGTACGCATTAGAAGTTGCAATATCTTTGTGACATTTACCTGTGGGAAGTGTAGAAAAGATAAGTTTCTCAACCCTCTTTGGCTAAATCTTCTCTTTATGTAAATGATGGTACTTAATAAAAAAAAGACATGCCTCCGGAGAAGAAGGTAGACATTTTAGAGACATTTTGGAGACATTTTACAGGCAGACATCTTCTTCACCGGTGACATCCATCATAACTAAAGACTGTAGTCTGTCTTCATTTATCAGAGATCTCTCCCTGGTTTTCATGCAACTGCTGCTTGGGCTGGCTTCCAAGAAGGGTTCCCTGGGGATTTCCCCACATTTACCTTCAGACCCATCCACTCCTGTAGACCTCCAAATTAATAGCAGAGAGCCAGTAACAAAGGTAAAATAGTAGAAATAAGTGTTGTTGATACATGTTGGAAAACACATTAATTCACCAAATGGGTAGATGTCACTGGTTTGGTTGTAAATGGTGACTTCCTTCTAGTGACCTAAATCCACATTCAAAACTAATGTTGTTTGCTGGAACTCCTGTATAATATATCCCAAAGTGTGCTGCTTTGAGGGACTTGTTCACCAGTGGTGCAGCGTATGACACTGTTATTTATCCCTATATGAAATCTGTAGTGAAAAGATGCAGGCCTTCCGATCCAAAGACCTGGATGAAGCTTGTATGTGAGATTGTGTGTTTAAACATTGGTCACTTAACCTTGTATTGCCCTGTCTTTTTTTTCCTATTCCCTGCTTTCCCCATCTTAAAAACAAGAGTGGAAAAGGATGGGGAAGGGATGATTCTACATAACAGCTTATAACAACAGGACGGAAATGTCATGCATTTCTTCCCCTGAGTTTCAGCATTTGTGTGACATAGTCTTGGAAAATAATTGGTTTTAAAATGAGCTGCATTTGCAACAGGTTTTGCCTGAGCATACGTAGCATTTGTGAAATAACAGAACTTTGGAGATTCTCTTGAATTTAGAGCTGACTTTAGGCAATCTTTGGTGGTCAATGTACCTTTCTAGTAGGGTAAAGTAGTTTTTGCAGAGACCACACCCTGAGCTTCAGTAACCTTTAACCTTATCTCTCTTAAGCATATGTTGTTAAATTAGAAGTCTCTGCAAAACCAAGGATACTTTTAGGACCTAAAGTACTGCTTTCAGTGAGCTGCCCCAAGTATTTTAGGGTGGAGGCTGGCTTGTTTAACATGCCACCCTTTGCTTACAACCCTGTAATCTAATGTTCTGTGTGGCAGAGTTTGAAATCTATAGTTAGCCATCAGCGGTGTGATAGTTTCCAGCTGCAGCAAAAAAAATTTTAAATCTATTTTTGTTCCTTTGATTTCTCGGTCTCTCACAGAGGATGGGGAAATAGAAGCTAGCTGTATAGTTAGTTATAGGTGCTTAATCTGAGAATTTTGAAGAGTTTTAAAAATTTCTACTGTTTCTCCATGGTAACATTTGAAGCCTCTTCAAGGGGTAGAGAATGTCCAGCATTGAAAGATGTCTAGCTTTCAATAAGCTGTACTCTTCTAAGCTGGACATAGCTCCACTTGTCTTAAAATTGACTGTAATATTAGTACATCTGCCTGTCTTTGCTTGCTTGGGCGTAAATAAGCACAGAGGATAGGACCAAGAATGATTTCTTGCTCAACCAACAGATCCCATCTAGAACCTTAGAAAGGGGAACAGTTGCACTTAAAAGTCAAAAGAACTTGCACTTCAAATGGCCATGGAACTCAGAAAAGATGAGTTTTGCTGAGCTTTTAATTCCATCTACACTTTGTCTTCCTAGATAAGCAGCCTATTAACACTTTTACAAAGTTTGAGGAAACCTGTTGGGGCTTTGTTAAGCATTTTTCATGTCCTTTTATTTTTTTTATTTTTTATTTTATTATATCAAAAAACAACATAAATATTAATTCATTTCTCTTAAACATATTGCTTCACTAGTGCCACCTCACCTTCTGGACTAGGTTCTATTTTTAGCATTCTTACATTTCATTCCACCTGCTTTCATTTCCTTGTGTTGGTGTTGGTAAGCTGAATGTTCTTGATCACTCCTAGGAACTGTGGAACTCCAGTTGTTGGATTATATCTCTGGGATTGCTCCCAGAATCCAATGCAGAAACCTGGAGGGGGGTCACCATTCCTTATCTTTGCTGCAGACTGACTTGTCTCCGTTTTGCAAAACTATCTGCACTGCACTTGTGCGCTTTTTGGAGTTAGATGGTGTTGGAGATTTTAAGAACTGGAAGAAGGAAATGGTTTGAGAAGGGAATGAGTAGGATCAGCACAAAAAAGTCAACACATAAATGTTACCTTAGAACTGCAATTATTTGAGTTTATGGGAAGAGAGTGAGTAAAAGTAGTGGTATAAATGTTGACGTTTAGGTGCTCATCATGACAATCTCATAACCATGCCTCTGAGGAGGCTCAAAGGATACAGCAGGTGTATTCTCTCTTTTTATTGTACACCCGCTAAAGGATAAAATAACATAATGCCCCATTTACTAGAATCAGTGGACAGTCATAACATTATGAGCTAGCTAAGAGCAGCAACTAGGGACGTGGTGGCGTTGCAGGCTAAACTGCAGAAGCCTGTGCTGCAGGGTCAGAAGACCAGCAGTCGTAGGATTGAATCCACGCAACGGAGTGAGCTCCCATCGCTTTGTCCCAGCTCCCGCCAACCTAGCAGTTCAAAAGCATGCAAATGCAAGTAGATAAATAGGTACCACCTCGGTGGGAACGTAACAGTGTTCCGTGTCTAAGTCGCACTGGCCATGTGACCATGGAAGATTGTCTTCAGACAAAATGCTGGCTCTATGGCTTGGAAACGGGGATGAGCACCACCCCCTAGAGGCAAACACAACTGGACAAAAATTGTCAAGGGGAACCTTTACCTTTAAGAGCAGCAACTAGTTCTGACATTTTTGTTCCCATCACAAATAGTCTTGCAAGATAAACGAATCCTATGTAGCAGTTAGTGTGATGTTTTCCAGTTGCAGAAACTCCTTTTAAAGTTCTGACAAAGCCACCTCACCTACTTCACAGGGCAACTGGCATTGCTAACGATAATGTATTGTTACTGGGGAAATCTAGTTTCCTTCCACTTACTGTGAGGGTTGCAGCTAAGCTCAGAGAAAACAGGAAATCTGGTGTGGGGATTTGGGTGGCAGTTGATGTAATCTTACTGCTAATAAAAAAGTCCTGGGTATTGAAACTATATACAGTGTGTGTAGATAGCCCTCTGATCTTGAAATCAGTGTAACATATTAATATGTTACATAGATTTTAAATAACCCAACAATGTAAATTTTATTGTGGTGCATTGTGGTCTGAATAGCAAGAGGTAATCTGCAGTGGGTGATAATCCCATTTTACAGCATATTTTTGTGCTTGATATTTGCTTTATCTGTTAGGTGTCATAAAATTGCTCTGAACTCATGGCCACCCTATGAAGTATTGGCTATGACATAATCTTGTCATTAACAATCCTGTTCAGGTCTTGCAGACTCAAGACCTTGCCTTTCTTTTTTTGAGTTGATCCCTAATACCTTTGATCTTCGTTCTTTTCCTTCTGCCCTCAACTTCATGCATTATTGTCTTGTGGGGTGACTCTTGTCTTCTCATGGTATTTTCCAAGTTTGACAGCCTCAGTATTGTCATTTTCGCTTCTGGGAAAATTTCAGCCTAAGTTGGTCTAGTACCTACACACTGGTCTTTCTAGCGGTCCTTTAAATCCATAAAGCTGTCTGTCTGGTTTTGCTAGGTGTAAAGACCTAGCAGGACAAGGGTACTTTGACCTGAACCAGCAGGAATCTTGGCTTCTTGATCTTCCAGCAGGCATTGCCCAGACTTCATATACCCCAGATACATTACAATATTGCAACCCTAGAAGCTAAAGAGTCTTAGGAAACTTTCCTCAACCTTTCCCCCCCTTTTTTCTTTTCTTTTGGAAAGCTGAGCAAATCTGTTCATGGGCCATATCCTATCAACAATTCCTACTCTTAAGCGTCTTAAAAAGTTTTGGGGACAAGGTTGTTTTGTTTTGTTCGCCCTAGCCAGAGACATGATCGCTATCAGACCGGAAAGCTTATCAGAAAGATCTTGCTCTGCGCTCTCTCCCTGTTTGTGATTGGAAAGAGCCAAGGATGGCGCAAGAAAGTTCTTGCTTAGCCGGAAAAAAAGGACGGGCCTGCCCGGCAAGTGACCCAATTAGAGTTCATTAAGGCCCTGGCACTTCTCCCTTGCTTCGCTTTGAACTTCGAGATGGCACAGGCTCAGGTTTGTTGCTGCTCCTTTTCCTCTCCTTCGCTTTCTCTTTTCCTCCCTCCCCGCTTTATTCCGGCGCCCTCCTTGCAAACAACTCCGCTTCCTTGGAAGGCTGACCCGGGCATCTGCCCACGTGCCAGAAGAAATCCAGCGGCGGCTTCGTCCATCGCGGTGCGACAAACTTGTGAAGGGGTGGCCGGGTGGGTTGCTGCCCCTCTCCCCCCTTGGCCCGTCCCGCGTGTGGCGCGCGGCGCGAATGGATGCTGCCTCGCTCCCCTTTGCGGTCTCCGGCTCCTCTTTTGATCTGTGCCCAGGAGCCGCTCCTATTGGCTCCCTCCTTGTGACGTGCGGGGACTGCAGTTGTCTTATGTATCCAGCCCCGGGCTCTGAGTTTCCGTCTCTTTCCAGGGAGACCGGGGGGATCGCCGGGGTCCTTTGCTGGAAGGGGGGGAGAGAACACCAAATAGACCCGGCGCCTGTTTTCCGCCCTCTCCCCTTCCACACACCACCGGGATCGACCCTCCAGTAGACCGGGGAAACGGAGGGCAACTACTCCTTCCTGGACTCGCTGTTAAGGAGAGCCGGCCAGGGAAAGGGGGAAAGTCTCCCTTCCTCCCCCCTCCCCGCCGGCGGACCGAAGGGAAAGAGCCATGCAGGGAGCAAAGTTGGACGTCTGAGCCGAAACGACCCCCCTTCCTCCCCCACCCACCCCACTCCCCTCCGTTTTGTATAACCGGGATCCGATCCGTGATCACACGTGAGTCCGCCGCACTTCTCACCGGGTCCTGCCTGTCGGGAAGGGTGGGGGCGGCGGCGGCGGTGGAGAAAGTGTTTAGAGCGGGCCAACGGCAAAAGGGACACCGGGGAGAACTAAAGGGGGGGGTCAGGACCCCTTTTCCCGCAGGCATCGGGGATGATGAGGGCGCGCGGGAAAAGCCGGGGCTGGCTGAGCAGCGAAGGAGAAGGTGGAGGCGACCGACCGGGAAAGAGGAGGGCGCGTTGGCCGCCCTCGAACTTGGCAGGTGAAGGAGAAGAAAGTGGCCTGAATGGGAAGTGAAGGAAGAGCCGGAAGGCTCCCCTCCGGACAGAAATCGGGGCGGGGGACGGGGGAGAGAGAGGTCAAGAATTAGTATGCAGCGGGGGAAGCGGAGCTCAGTCTTGACTATCTGTACGTGCGTTCACGTGTGTGTGCGGAGGTGGAGGGTGGGGAGTATGGTCTAGGTAAGAATTGGTGAGCCGCACAGGGATTGAATCTCAGAAGCCGCTTGCTCCTCTAGAGGCGGTCAGAGCCTAGAAGGAGGAGGTGGTGGCACCAATCCAAAGGGTGGCATGTCAGGGGGTCATTTGAGGACAGAGAACTCCATGCATGCTGCCCCAAGTGTCTGCATCGGCTTGCTTTCAGTCGCTTAGCCCAGAGGAGCCTTAAGGTTTTCCTTCCCGTTCCCATCAGGAGCTGGTCAGGTCAGGCATCACAGTGGCCACCTTGACTTACATTCGGGGGCTGGTGGAGAAAATCGTTTTCTCAGTCCCTGCTCTCCGCCTTGGAGGCCAGAGAAAACCTGAGCAAACGTTTTGTGGTGGTAACCCGTCTGGTTCAAAATGTCCTGGAACAAGAGGTTAGAAGTTGGTAGCTGCCATACGGCATCCCCTCCCCTTAACCATGTTTTGAATTGCAAGCTCTGTCTGCTAGTCAGTGTTTAACAAGTGCCTGGGGTGATGGGAGTCATAGCCCAAAACATCTGGATGGGACCTTATTGCAGGGCCCTGGACACAGCTGCCTTGCCAACGCTGAGCTAAGCAGGGGGAGGGCATGTCAGTGCATCTCAAAGAAGGACTGCTTGGGGACCCCATAGGCTGCCCCAAGTTCTCCAGATACAGAGTAATAAATGAAATATCGAACCATAAAACAGCTGCCATTGCTGGAAAGGGCAGGCCACTTTTTGATCTCAAACCCTGAAGGAAGCATTAATATGTGGGGGCGATCCTGAACCAGGGATACACAAGATGGGGACATTAGTGCACAAGAAAAAGGACAATGATACATCTAAGGGATAGTGAATTAAAGATGTGATGTTGACCGCAGTGGCACAGTGAGCGTTTAGGTGGAGGATCAAGAAAAACAACTCACCAGGTTGGGCCAGCTGTATCTGGTAAGCTAGACGGGTCCGGAGAATCCGGGGGTGGGGGTTGGGGTTGAAGAAAGCCATGAAATATTTGGCTAGAAGTCTGCTGAGAAACCAAGGCAAAACGTAGCAGAGGGACTGGCAGCCTGCAATAATAAACCTGGATGCAGCTGGTCTGCAGCTTGTAGCTCTGCTCTCTTTCTAAACTGTGCTGAGCATCTTTCTTCATCCCATTTTATAGATGGGGAACTGAGACAAAGAGAGGGGTTTATTCCCAGCAATACACTTTATGGACACATGCGATAATGGCCACATGACAGGCCAAAGGCTTAATGATCATAATAATAATCTTAGACCTGTCAAGCTGTAAGGGACCCTGAGGACTGAGTCCAGCCCCTTGTCAAGGAGGCATAGTGGGGAATTGAACTCCCAAACGCTGGCTCCACAACCAAATGCTTTAAGTATTTGGTGGGTATCAAAATGAAAAAGGCTGCCCTGGGCTGTGAGTTGGATATGATGCCAAATTGGCAGATTTAACTGCCAATGGGGATATGGGTGAGGAGGTACAATTATAGTATGATTACATTAAAGAAGCTAATTTTTTCTGGGAGTAAGTTTTCATTGGGCTCAGTGAGGTTTGATTTTGCGTAAACGTGGACAGGAATGCTGACATCTTATGCAAAATAGTTGCATCCACACCCTTGCTAATTAAAAATATTTTTCCCCGTCTTCCCTGACCTACCTGCATACAGGTACCTCTAATGCTTCTACTTATCTTTCTGGAATTGAACTTCCTCATTGTTCAATAAGCTGTCATTCAGTTGGCTTTGGTGCATCCTTTCCCATTTCCCTGCCACCCCCACTTCACCTTCTCTAGGTACCAAACGGCTGCACAAATTTAATGACACCCACATTCTTGCAGCCTGCCAGAGCGAAAGAGAGCAATATTGAATTTAGGGCATGTTTTGAAATAGTGGTTTAGACACCTTCAAATATAGCTTCACAGAGACTCTCCACAAACAAGTGAGCTGTTTTTTCTGGATGAAAGACCTTCCAGTATAAATACCGGCTTGTCCATACAAAGTTTTATTCCATGCCCTTTAATTTTTTAAAAAAATTCCTTACTTGTTTGTTCTTCTCCTTTGGGCATCTCTTTCTCCTTTTTCTTCCTGGATTAGGTATTTTTCCCTTCTGGGGGAACTCCTACAGACCAGCTGCCATCATGCAAATAATGTGTTTATCTGGTAGTGGAAAAAGGGATTTCAAACTATTCCTGTTCTTTCAAAGAAAAAGCAACAGTGGGAGCTAAATTTAGAAGCTACCTAAATATGTTTTTGAATCCCCTCTAAATTAAAGCTGTTCTGTTAAAATAAAGCAAACATTCTGCTCGAGAGCTCAAGGCTGTTCTTCTTAACCTGCCAAAAAGAAAAAGAAAAAAATGAATGGCAACCATTGTTGTGTTAAGAACAGTGGCAACCCGGGCTTCAGGCTGCAGCCTGGAGGTCACATTCATGGCACAAAGGGGTGTGAGCAACCTATTTCTTTGTCCTACCTCACCAAATTGTTAGGAGGACAAATGAGATGAGAATTAGAAGCTGGCATATCTGTTAGAAAACAAGGATCCTTAGATATCAACCGGTCTTCAACATTTCTTCATTCTACCATGACCAAGATCATCTTCCCATGTAGGTGGCCAACCTGTGTCTGAAATTTATTCTGAATGTATGGTGGTGACTTACATTTATGAATGGTCTTTGATATAAATGTTCCATCACAGAGCTTGGAAGTTACTTCTTTGGGCTATACTTCCCAGGATCCTTGAGCCAGCAGGGCCACTGGCTTTGGAGGCTGGAACTTTCTGGGACTGGTAGGTAAAAAGAAAGACAATTTTTCCAAGAGGTGTTTCATCCATGCAGAAAAGGTGCAAATGAGGCTCGAACTCTCTATAAGGCCATCCTGAGAGCACCCAAACAGTTCTAGGGTGAAATAAGACCACCAATAGGAATCTAGCAGCCTGTGTGGCACATATGTACACCCCAGTGATTCTTCAGCTCTTGAACACTCCCCTCTCTGGATAAAAACAGGAGCAGGAAAAAAAGGCCCGGGAGCAACAATTTTGCCTGCAAACAAGGCTCAAAACTCTAACAGCGCCCTCTCCCAAAAGAGCCATCGATTCCCGGACACTTTGGGTTGTTGTTTTTTTCCAGGTGCTGAGGCAGCCTCTAGGCTCTCAGTCACTCTGACTGGATAGCAGACTTACCAAATTTTAGTTCAGTGGCAGGGGCGGGTGTCCCTTAAGTGGTGCAAGACATTTTGATTGTGATAGCTTGCAACCTCACCTTTATCTCTTGCATGTAGTGTGGTCTGCTATGTGATTAGTCCTTATCTCAGGAAATGCCAGCATTAGGTGGAGGGAGCTGCAAGTTTTAGCTTCATTTTAGGCCCTAAATGAAGCATACTGGTTCCTCACAGTGCTGGAGCTAATGCCTCAGGGAAAATTCACAGAATCCTCTTCGCTCCAGTTCCTCTGAGAATAGTTTTTTCACCATCACACTGCCTCCAAGCAGGAAATTGTCTCCTATATCAATAAATACTCACAGAGAGAGATTCTTTAACAATATCTTATTTATTTTGTTATTGTTTAGTCGTTAAGTCGTGTCTGACTCTTTGTGACCCCATGGACCAGAGCACGCCAGGCCCTCCTGTCTTCCACTGCCTCCCGGAGTTGGGTCAAATTCATGTTGGTTGCTTCAATGACACTGTCCAACCATCTCATCCTCTGTTGTCCCCTTCTCCTCCTGCCTTCACGCTTTCCCAACATCAGGGTCTTTTGTAAATTCCTTATTTATTTACCACCCTGCTTTTCAGGCCAGTGTTGCCTTCCAAAGTGGTTCATACTGATCCAAGAATGTGAGAGAAGGAGAGATTCTGTCTTCTGACTTGCAAACTAAAAAATAAACCAAGTAAGGGGCAAAAATGGGGAAAGGTGTTAGAGGGAGATTTCGACAACAGTGTCAGAACAGAGTAGCAAAATAATAAGAGGTATTTCTGTCCAGTTGGGGTCCCATTGATCTTCCCTTTCTTGCCTGGATACAGAGGAACACACTGCCTTAATATCCTTTTGCTTTTTAGCCAATGGCCCTGAACCAAGTAGATTTCCCTTCTGCTTTATAGTCCCAGGGCCACTAGTAGTTAGGACAAAATCTTCATTCTTTGGGGAGCTAGAGGGGCAACAGAACCTGCCCAAGATATTTTACTGCTTCTGCGTGGGAGTGGCAAATGGCACTTCTTCCTCAATTCACTAAAGACCATGTGCATAACAGAATTTGGGAAATGTGGGACTTCAACTCCCAGAATCCCCCAGCCAGCCTAGGCATTAACTCGGGATTCTGGGAAATGTCGCCCAAAGAAGTTACTTCCCCAAGCTGTGCTACAGAGCACCTCATGCCAGACATTGGCTGAACCTCTGTAATAAATTGTGGATTACGATAGGCCCATTGAACTGCTGGATAGCTCAGTAGTTTAGATTGGGAGTTTGATTCCCGACTATGCCTTCTTGACAGAGACTGGATCCTGATCCATAGGGTCCCTTACAGTTCTAGAATGATGATGGTGGAATGTAAATTCCATTGATTCAATGGGCCTACTGTATTACTGAATTTCAGTCATTATTTGTTATTTTGAGACCTGAGATAGAATATCTAACTCCCCCACCCCCAATTTCTGGTAGTAAAAGAACAAACAATGCACAATTTGCTGCTATACTTTGACCTCAAGATTTGTTTGCTGAAGCAGATGTCCCTTGTATCTAATGACAGAGACAGCCTCTGTTTGGGGGAACATAAACCCCTCCTTCATCTCTTGTCATGCTGAGTGTCAATAACTGTTAACTCTTTCTTTCTTTCTTTCTTTCTTTCTTTCTTTCTTTCTTTCTTTCTTTCTTTCTTTCTTTCTTTCTTTCTAAATTATTGTTTCAACCCCCCCCTCCCTCCCTCCCCAGCACACTGATTTTTGAATGTGCCAGTGTTCGCATGATTCAGCTGAACTGTGCAAAACAATTCACTGATGTTTAGTCTGTAATTGGCTTGCAAGCTAAGAAGTTTCTCACTGTAGGTTAAGTGAGGACACCCAGACACTTATGGACACTCTTGCTGACTCAGTTCTGCCTCTCGCCGCAGAGGTAAAGAGAAGGATGCCGTCTCTCAATAGGGAAGTGTTTTGAAATCTGAAGTGCTTTTTGTGTGTGGTGTGCCCAAAGAGCTAAGCTTTTTTTGAGCAGATGGAAGGGCAGTTTGGCCTCTCCTTGCGTTCTCTTCCTTTGTTGAACTGCAGCTCCCTGCCAAGGCATGTGGAAGAATTCTCCACAGAGAAGGGTTAATCTGGTTCTTTCTGGGTGGCCCTCATCCTGACTACAAAATTTGGCTCCCTTCCTTTGCAGTGGCAAATAAGAGGGAGTGGAGGTAGCTTTGAGACATAGAAAACTTATGGGTAAATGCCACCCAGACCTTTCCTTATAATTAAAAGAAAATGAGGTAGGCACATCAGCTAGCAGATTTTAGGTCTTGAGAGAGTGCAGTAAGTTATGCTTTAAATGGTTGTTACAGTACTTTTACTGCCAGGAATGGAGAGAGTCACAGGGGTGGATGGGGTTTCTTTCATGTACCAAAAATATGCTTGGTTGGCACTTTGGTGTATGGGGACCTTGGTGTATGGGGAATGGACACAATTTGCTCCTCCACTTCATTTAACAAAATGTCTTGGGATATGCCTGGTTGTTTCTGACCATTAGACCAAATACATTCGGTTCTGCTTTATTGCCTACTTTTCTCTTCCAGACACCTATAATTACAAACATGTCTTGTTTTACTGTATGATCCATTTCCTTCTGATGCTTGCAGAAAAACCTCCAGTTTCATCTTCGGCATCAGCAGCTGGAGCATTAGTGTTTGGAGCGCCAAATGATGATTATGTTGCTGGGTTTTCCATAGAGTTTGATGGATATTATTATTTAGTCAGATTTTGCATTATACCCCCTAACGTCCTGCTACACTGTGCCTCAGTATTACAGCCACTCCATTTCTTCTGAGTTTGTCATTTCCAGAGTAAAAGTTGTCTGGCTGAAGATGTCCTGTTCCTGTCCACTTTAGTTCATTGACATCAGACACTGCAATATATAAAATTTCCATGTCTTGCTTAACAGTTTTCAGTTTCTCTTGATTCATACTTCTTATGTTTCATGTTCCAGCTGTATACGATTCCTGAAGGGGATGGATGTATCTTAATCTGGTGCTTCAGCTGTGAACCTGTCACCTTGGGTGGCCATGCTAAGAAGTCCAGGCTCATAACGGAAGGCTAGCCTCCTGACGGCATTTGATCTGGGCTTCTTTGACACACTCAACCCTCCTCACCACGTTAAGGTGGGCATCTAAGAAGGAGGGCTACTGAATTTAATGTTAGAAATATTCTAAGATGAACCCAGTGGTAGGTGGAGCCAAAAGCAAAAAGGTGGGACTAAAAATAGGAGCATATTTTAGCTTAGACTTGTTACAGCCAATAACTAAGCTTAAGGGGAAGTATTTCAGCATTTTTGAATTCCGGTGGGGAGGATGGATAAAAACTAAGACATTGCCAAAGAGTGGGCTCAACAGAAAGGGGAAGTGATCCATTTGGGGAAGCTCCAGGGAACTGAGCCAGATTTGGCTCAAGGGTCTGAAGGTCTCCATGCCTGGCATACAGCTTCCTTACATTGCATCCATAGATGCTTTTAGGCATATGTGTGTTTGCCTCATGACTCAAGATTACTTTTAAAGGTGATATAAAAGCTCCGTTCTTTCTTTCAGCAAAGATTATGCTAGTGGTCTTGATCAGCTCCACTTTCATTGTAGGGGAGAAAGAGTACCCAAAAGGCTCTTTCTGGTGACTTGCTCTTACCCTGTTTCCCCGAAAATAAGACCTAACCTGAAAATAAGCCCTCGTATGATTTTTCAGGATGCTCGTAATATAAGCCTTACTCCCAAAATAAGCCCAAATTAAGTGAAACCCTCCATCATTGTGCAGTAACCAGAAGAAGATGACATGACTGTATTTGAATAAATGTAGATTGCTGTACATGGAAAAAAAACATGCCCTGAAAATAAGCCCTAATGAATTTTTGGAGCAAAAATTAATATAAGACCCTTATTTTCCGGGAAACACGGTAACATTTTCTTCCTTTAGCAAGCATTGCCTGCATAACTCATGGCAAAACTGACAACAGCTGTTCTAAGCTTTCAAAACATTCTGAGTTGTGTAATAAGTTGCAGAGGAGAAAGAATTGCAACAGCAGGGTTGCATATTTGGGAAGCAGGGATTCCGACATACAAGGGCAAGCTGAAACATTGGATAGTGCTGGTTCTAGCCTGTGCTTGAAGAAGGGGGAGAATAATGTAGTGTTGTCCATATGATGAGTGCAAATATTTTATTAACTAAAATATTAATTTCCCCTTCTTCCCTGTGAAGGAATCTCCCAAACTATCAAGATAATAAAATCACAGAGCAAATAACAAGAACATTGAATCACATACAGAAACAGTTCCTATACCTTTAAAAGTAGAAATTGATACCCCCCCTTATTTATGCACCAGCTGTGATATCAGACACCTGATATGGTTATTTGTGGGGGAGGGATCATAAAGGCACCAAAATTCTAACTGAGGCAATCCAGCAGTCTTCTGGGTGTTGTAGTTTTTTTTAAAAAATGATACTCCCATCCTAGCTGTTGCTGCCTGGGGAATTCTGGGAGATTGTCAAAAACCACAAAGCTGCACACCTCTAATTTAATGCTAGTTCTGCTAACCTTCCATCCTTTTCTTCCCTTATATTCTGCCACAGTCTGGTGATACTAAACAGCCCAATTCAGGGTGGGTTTATAACTGGGAGTAGGCATGATTTGTAGGAAGTTAGAAAGTGTGTGTGGGGAGGTATCCTACCTGTACAGCATTGTCCCCAACCATAACCCTTTTCATTTACTTACATGTAAACAAATTCAGAATAGCTGCACCTGTGGATACAGGGATGCTAAGGGTGATAGAGATTGGAGTGGTGTACAATACAACTTGGCAGGACAGGCTTTCTGGGTGACCCAACATTTTTTGTTTATTTTATTTATTTATTGGACTTTATATACCGCCCCATAGCACTACAAGCACTCTCCGGGCGGTTTACAATTTTTAATTTTAACCTTGGGTTACTCAGGAGTTTTAGACTGCAACTCCCAGAAGCCTTCACCACCAGCTGTCCTGACTGGGGTTTCTGGGAGTTGCAGTTCAAAAGCATCCGAGTAACAAAGGTTAAGAACCACTGGTGTACAATACAACTTGGCGGGACAGGCTTTCTGGGTGACCCAACATCCATCTCTTTATCTATAGCTTATAAATTCCCAAATCCAACATGTAGGTTTTTCAGCAGAGAGGCCCAAACTGCATGAATTACTTTAAATAAAAGCCCTGGCTGATCCAAAAAGCCATCACCAGTGACCCACAAGACCACAGGGTGAACTTCTTTAGGTTGGCTGTTGCCTAAATGGCATTTAGCTCCTACAAAGCCACTTCCTAAAGATCGTTTATGTCCTTGCAGAGGTTAGGGCCTCATGTGCACTGTTTAAGATTCTTCTAATTGGTAGATTTGGGAAAAGACCGTTGTTCATGTATCCCCAAAGTAGGGCCACCTCGTCCCTTGTACCTGAACCAGACTTTCTGAATCTCCCTGCTGTTCGGACCAATTCTCACGTCGGCGAAGGGATTCTGACAGTCGTAGCCAAACAAATTGAATTTTCCACAGAAAAGACTCATGGCCCCGGCCTAGACTGTTAGAGCACAGTGGCCTCTCTTAAAAGGCGGCCCAGGTACCAGCTTGTGCCAGTCTAGGGAACTGTGTCTTTCTTCCTCTGCTTGCCAGTGTGGACAGGATGCGGAGAAAAGCAAACTGACCTGCCTTCCTGCTCTCTCTTTTCTTTGCAGTAACGGGATTGAGGGACGCAGGGCTTTAGTGTAGCCAGTAACATTCCACACACACCCCAGCAATCTGATTGACTCAGGTTGTCCCAACATATTGGCTTGGGCGAGCAACATATCGCTGTGTTTTACTGAGAGCTTATGTGGCATTGCTGATTCGGCACATCCCACATGGTGTCTCGGTTGTGCTTGCCAAGTTGGGGGCAGCCTAGGACAGGGAACATCCTGTGAAAGAGGGAGAGAAGGGTGGAAAAATCCCAGCTCTCTGGTCCTCCTGGTGTTCAGATCTGGCCATCTGCTGGAATGGGGCTTGTATTTCATGTATCCCAGCCATGGGTTTTCAGTCAGCAGTTCCTTGGGATTTCTTTTTCCACTTATATATATTGCCCTTATAAGAATATTTTTAATCAGGAGGACTGGGCTTGAAGTTCTCGCAGTTTTCTTGCTATTGCAGAGCCAATAGACAGCCAGAGTCACCATTATAAGAATAAGCCTCTCGTGGATGAATATATATTATATCTATGTATATATATATTACCATTATATATAGATATATACCATTATAACCATTACCTGTATATCTATATGTCTCTGTCTATCTTAACTGCTGGGTAGGCTCATATGGAAGGAGGCGGTCCTTCAGGTATCCAGGGCCCAAGCCGTTTAGGGCTTTATATGTATATATATGTATATAATCATATACATCAAGGCCGATTTCCCCTTCAGCAGTTAATTCTATAGGTATATTCTAGTTGAGAGTAGTAATTGAATTTAGGCCTTGGGTTCTTTTTAAGGAGAAAGGGGGGATAAAAATAAATTGATTGATCAGTCACAGCTGTCAGTTCTGCCAATTTGCAGCATAAACTGACAGTGCACAGCATTGGCCAGCTTTTATGCCTTTCCTCCTGCATCTCTGTTTTTGCAATGCTTAGAATTCATTTTCTTTGTTTGTTTTTACAAACAATGACATGAAGGTTTACAGTGTTGGTTTTTTTTGTTTTGTTTTTACATTAAAGATGAAAAAGAAGGACCAGCTTAGCAATGACTAACATTAAAACTGCTGGCATTTTTGGCTGCCTCTGTCTCTGTAAAAATAGAAGAAAAGTAGTTATGCCTGCAGGGTTAAAAACGTGCAACAAATACAGTATTAAAGAATCTCTGAAATATACTCCGAAGGGCCAAACCACGCATGGTGTTGAAGTTCCATGATTTTGTACTGTCGGCCATTCTCTTCCTTGGTGTAACAAAAACTGAACCAGAACTTGTGGCACCTAATTATTTATTTCAGTGTAAGCTTCTGTGAATTACGATTAACTGCCCCAGACAGCGTGGAATCAGTGGCCAGAATGCTCTTGCCAATGTACGACTGACTTCCTATGCAAAATCATGTAAGTCTTGGTGGCAGACTGCCACTCATTAAGGAGGTGTTGGTTTCATTTTTGGGCACACACCCAGGAACTCAACCAGCATCTTCGCAAAGAATAGCAAGTTGCCTCCAAGACTTACCTGCTCTCTCTCTTCTGCATGGGCAAATCAGCAGTTATGTCTCTAAATAATGTTTATAGAAACTGAATCTGTTAGTAAAACTATTGTTATTCAAGATTATCCCTTTAGCTTTAAAGGTGAGACAACACTTTGGTCCTGTTCCCCCCCCCCTTCCATGTTCGATCAAATACAGCCTTCAGAAAAATCTTTTTCTTAAGAGTTTGTTCTTGTCCTTTTTCCAGACACTAGAGGGCAGTAGACAGTGGGGAAAGGACACGGTCGCCTGTAAATTGTGCAAATCTCAAAAGGCTTTGTGGCTGGAACAAATCAGCAGTGAAAACCCGTTTATATAATCCTCACTGCCAGATTTGATGTGAGGCTACATCATGTGCTGTTCAGTAGCATTCCAGACATTCTCATGTATGGCTCTGGATTTTCCAAAGGAGATTGTTCTAGATATGCAGCCTTTTCCTATCCTTCACAACTTGAGCAGGTAATGAAGGCTGGACTATTTATTCAATAAATAAATTGAATAAATAGTCCAATAAATGGGTGGTTGGGGCTCCAGCCCTGTCTCTGCGTTATCTGGCCCTGGGTGGCCCATCAGGGAAGTTATGAAAAGGGGATGGATAGTTCAGTAGGTAGAGCACATGTGGGTAGAAGACTGAAGGTTCAGTCCCCAAACTTCCTGGGTGGGGCGCTATCTGAAACCAAAGAAAGCTACTTTCCAGTCAGTTTAGAATAGCCACCTCCAAATACACTGGTTGTCACAGATGGACAATAAGGCTCATCACCCCAGTCACTGATCCTGTGTACATGGGCCATGCTGGAAGAGGATGGTGAGATACAAAGACCACTTCATCTGGGGTATGCAAGACTGGGGAGGACTTAAGTAGAGAAATGCAGAACAAGATGACTCGAGGCCAATGGTCTGAGATGCTGGGAGCTTCTATCCTAATAACAATGTAGAAAACTCCCTGGCGTTATTCTTGGGGTAGTTTCTGCTCTCAGACTTAAAGTCTAAAAACCTAAAAGATGCAAGGCAAAATGGGAATGGGAAGGTGGTGGAGGAGGAGAAGTAGGGACAAGGGAAGGAAGCTCTACACTACTGTTCCATCTCTGCCTAATATGTAGGAACTGGGCTTGTCTCCCTTGCTCACCCTTCTCTTGCCTTTATGATGTCCTTAGGATGTAGAGAGTGGAGGATCTGAGTGGTCCTTGCTCCCCTGGCTGATAATCGAGGCCACCTCATACTGCAGTTTGGCACCCAACAATGTTGTGAGATGGAGAAAACAAGGCTGTCTTGTATGGAGAAGTTCCATTTGAAAGAGAGGACAGAACTCCGTAGTAATGATTAGAGCCATTTGGGAAGGGGAGAAATAGGGACTTGTGTGTTTGCTTGCGTGTTTTGTGACAAAGAGAAGGTTCTGATGCAGCAAGCCAGGCACCGTCAAGAGTCGTTCACCAAAATTGTGATCTGTGGTTTCTTTGGCAGCAACAAGGGCCTTATGTGGAGGCGTCGGCAACTGAAATACCAAAAATGAAAAGGTGCTTTGAAGGTGTTGGGCTGCGATGCTTTCTTAAGGTGAGCACAATCCGGGGGGGAGGGGGAATCCATGTTGTGGAAATAAGGGTCCAGAATGGTAGAATGGGGGTCTCATTCTAGTGTCTAACCAGGCCCAGATCCACATTTGCCTCTGTTAGCTAGTGGTCACCCTGTTCTATTGTAGGCTGCCAGCACTGAGGGCTGGCACTGGTGTGTGATGTAAAAAAGGCTTTCCACTGTTGTCCCTTGCAGAGGAAAGGAGGTGGTGTTTGGGCCCTCCAGGTTCAGGCAGCAACACGCCTTGGGTCAGCTACAGCTTAAAGCCCCCAAAACCTGCTCTCTATTAGCTTAATGACTTCACTTCTCAGCACTTGCAACCTTTCTGGACCACACCTCTCCCTCTTCATTGGTTGGCAGTAATCATTTCTGATTGGTGAGCTGGCTCTATATAAAGGTAGGAAAGTGTGGCTGAACAAGAGTTACAGGCAAGTCAACAGCATGTGAAGAGCACAAGGGGAAGTGATATGGGACAGGCATCCATTCAGGTGGGATTGGTAGCTGCATCTACATCGGAGTGAAGAGTTTTGCTGATACTGCTAATAGGCTCATAGCTATGAGAACTTAAAAACCATTTAGAAAGAGGTGGGTGAGGACTGAATGCGAAAAATGTCCAGAAATCCAAAATCTATCTCACACTGCTCATGTGAAGTGTGTTGTGCCTTTTGTCACCACCTTTACAAAATGACCTTTTCAAACGTTTGTGTTTTCTGAAGGCTTCTTGTGTCCTGTCCCTGTTTTTCAAGGACACCAGCATGTGAGTTTCAAGGGCGATAAATCGTCTTGCTCACCAAGGAGTGCAACCAGGATTAAGAGAGAGGGAGACAAACCTTGATCCCCTTTACTTGACAGGCTAAGCTTCTTATGGTCAGGGCTGAAGATCTATGAGGGGAAAAAAAGATTACTGTCCCACCGACCCTGGAAAGAGGCGCAGAAGCAGTAATTGGGCCACAGCAGTGATTTGCTTTTAGCTCACTTGAGATTGCTGTGACAGTCCCACATTGGCCTTCCACACAGTTTTCTTTGGCTTTTCATAAGATCACATCCCCCAATCTGGTGCCCTCCAATATATTGGACTACAGCTCCATTCAGTCCTAATCTACCAGATAGGGCAATGGAAGCTGTAGTTTAGCATGTCTGAGGGGAGTGCCAGGCTGGGAAGGAATGCCATAAGAAAACAAACAGCAAATTGCTGATACGGCAGACTCTCATAATTTGAGGCAGGAAATTTTAAATGAAGAATATAAAACAGTTGCAACAAATTTTGCTGTCTGTGCATAGCGCTGAGTGACTGGCTGCTGTAACATCACATACTCACCTACCATTCCTGGTTTTGTGGTGCTCTAAATTTCCTACATCTGTGAGAATTTTTAAAGAAGTCACCGTTTCTGGTCCTTACAAGGAGATATCTTAAAACAGAGGCTTAACTAACCATTTTGGAATCTGGGACAAGCAGCTTTGTCATCACCTTGTTCTGCATGAGCCGCTCCTCGAAAAAGGAGGATTATGTGGCATGCTCCCAAAAAAGAAGGACATTTTATGCTCTTAAAAAAAGGGGAATGGTTTCTTATTCCTAGAGTGGTCGCAAGACCAGATAGGCGGGATATCAATCAATCAATCAATCAGTCAGTCAGTCAGTCAGTCAGTCAGTCAGTCAGTCAGTCAGTCAGTCAGTCAGTCAGTCAGTCAGTCAGTCAGTCAGTCAGTCAGTCAGTCAGTCAGTCAGTCAATCAATCAATCGGTCAATCAATAAATGTTCTTAACACCAATAGATTCAGTTTTCTGACTTATGGTGGAGAAATGGTTTATCATCCCCTTCTTCTGGGGACACCCTAGTACTGTGCAGTTTGAATTGAACTTCCAACCACATAACTGCCTGCGCTGTCCAGCCAGTTTTATCTTCTATACTTAGGACCAATTTAAAAAACAAAAGAGAGAGAGAAACACCTGAAAAGCACTTTAGTTAGTCTGCTTCAGTAGTTTCCAAGAACAGCCATGGATGTTTTGCTTTAATGAAGCAAAACAGAAGCAATTATGTGTTTCTCAATTTTGCCTGGCACCCCAGAAATGTTTCTGCAAGTAGCTCTCATTTAACCTTTAAGACAAGTCACAGCGGGTTGGGGGAGAAATCTCATTGCCCCCTCCTGCTTCCAGGGAGAAGTTTTCAGCTTTAATTTTTTATAAGTGATGCAGTGTAAAAAAAAAGGATAAAAAATTCACTTCCTCTTCCCTTCACAGAGCAGAGGAAGTATTAATTTGCCAATATCCTCAAGTGGCTGTTTTCTTAAGCCACTTCAGGATATAGGGATTTGACACTAAAATGCGCCTTTATAACCCCAAGTGTGCTTTGTTTTCTTTCCAATAATTGCACACACCAGAAAGAAAACCAAAACAGAGTGATGCTACCTGCACCAAATAAGTAGAAGTCCAGAAAGGTGCAGGTAGGAATGCTTTGTAGATGGGCTAGTTCACTCCAGAAATTACATCACATGATTTCCAGGAAAAGGAGCAAGTCAACCCATCTCAACAACCAAATAGCAGGCTAAATACCCATTTGATCACTCCATTATGCCTCTGTTATGGCAAAAAAAAAAAAGAAGAAGAATGACTAAATTACATAATGTGTTTCTTTTAACTAGTTATTTCCAAACTCTGAAATAACAACAATGATATAATATTGATAACTACCATACCACCCTATACATACTGTACCTGATTTTATCTGTTTTCAGAAGCTAAGTATGGTTAGACCTGGATAGTATTTGGTTGAAAGACCACCAGGGATCTCCAGATAGAACTAGGCAGGAATCCTGCCTGAAACCCTGATGAGCCATTCCTGTAAGTCATAGTTAGGTTGTTGGATTAGATGGGCCAGTAGTCTGACTCACTGTGAGGCAGCTTCCTATGTTTCTAATAACAATGGTCATAGTAATAGTAGTAGTTGCAGTTGTTGCAGTAGAGGCAGTGGTAGTAGTAACAGCAATACTGCTACTCCTTGAGCATTGTTGCTGGCAACACTGAGAATCTGTGAAGCCACCCCCTCTGTTCCCTCACCACTTCTCCTCCAATATAGAAAGAGCTTGCTGTTTCTGTTAATGCTAAATGTGACATTACATGCCAGTAGGGAAAGATGGCCATGCCTAAACACATTCTTATCACCGCTGCAGGATGGGACCTCAGCTGTTTCTGTTAATGCTAAATGTGACATTACATGTCAGTAGGGAAGGATGGCCATACCTAAACACATTCTTATTCATCACCGCTGCAGGATGGGACCTCAGCTGCCATGCAGCCACAGAAACATCTTCTTATCTTTGACTTTGATGAGACCATCGTCAACGAAAACAGTGATGATTCTATCCTCCAAGCTGCTCCAGGAAAACAGCTCCCAGAGTCAATACGCCAAACCTTCCGTGAAGGACATTACAATGAATACATGCAGCGGGTGCTGAAGTACATGGGAGACCAAGGGGTGAAGATGGCTGACTTCAAGGCCGTCTATGAAAAGATCCCTCTCTCCCCTGGCATGCGTGACCTCTTCCAGTTCCTCACCAAACAGCAGGACCATTTTGAAATCATCCTCATCTCCGACGCCAATATGTTCGGCATTGAATGTGCCTTGAAAGCTGCTGGTGTGTACTCCCTTTTCCGGAAAATCTTTAGCAACCCTTCTGGCTTTGACAAGAGAGGCTACTTCACCCTGGGCCCATATCACTCACACAACTGCTCACGGTGCCCAGCAAACATGTGCAAACAGAAGATCCTGACGGAATACCTGGCAGAAAGAGCTCGAGACGGAGCCAGATTTGAGTGTATTTTCTACATTGGAGATGGCGCCAATGACTTCTGCCCTTCCACGGCTCTAAAGTCCAGCGACATGGCCTTCCCGAGGAAAGCTTACCCCATGCATCAGCTTATCCTGGAAACAGAGAAGAATCAACCTGGGGCCTACCAGGCCACAGTAGTTCCGTGGGACTCAGCTCTAGAAGTTTCCTGCTACCTCCAAGAGGTTCTCAAGAGAAAATGATAAGGATGAAGGATTTGGTGGAAGAAGCAGCTGCTCTTTATCCACCCCAATGAGCAACTTGGAAAGCTCTGAATGAACAGCATCACACCTCACTTGTGCCTGGCTTAAACTCTGGGGCCTCCGCCTCCTCTTCTAGCTCAAACTTTGTCTCCAGATCTTCCCTTCCTTTGATCTTGAGGCAAAGGCTTTCTATGCAGTTAGGAAATCCATTCAAGGAAGGGTGGGTGGATGTTTGGCCAATTAATCTCCCTCCCCCCTTTGCCGTTTTACAAAGTCTACTTTTGCATACTCTAGATCAGGGGTCTCCAACCCCTGCTCTGTGGCGAGCGAAGCTCTGTCTCCTGTCAGAGCACTCCTATTAGGTTCTAATGCCACTGATTATCTGACAGGAGGTGGAGCTTCGCTCCCTGCTCCCTTCCTGCTGCTGCTACATCAATTCTGCCTGTGGCATTAGAATCTAATAGGAGTCTGAGCTTCTATTAGGTTCTAATGCCACTGCTGATCTAACAGGGGGTGGAGCTTTAATTGCAGGTCATCTCCTGCTCCTGCTCACCACAAGTACCCAGCACCCAGTCTCTGGGAGAATGGTCTTCAACTAAACCAGTCCCTGGTATCAGAAAGTTTGGGGCCCACTGCTCTAAATCACTTACCTATTTGCCCCCTCAACTTTGTTCTCAAAAGCACTTTGAATACAGACAGTATTTCTATTGCCACCAAAGCATTTAATCTGTCATGGGTCCTGCTCCATCAGATATGGGGCAGGGAGTTTCCAGAGATGTCAGGGGTGCATTCACAAATACCCCAACTGTAGAAAGCTGCACCTCCCTCCAACCCCTTCCTCATGCCCCCAGAAATTTAAAGTACCGTATTTTTCCATGCATAAGACTATACTTTTGTCTAAAATCTTTAGACTAAAAATTGAGGGTTGTCTTATATATGGAAGTAAGCTGAGAACAAAAACAAGAGGGTTGTCTTATATACGGAAGTAAGTTGAGAACAAAAACAGGAGAGGAAAATAGGGATCAAAGTGATCCTGCAGCGCTTTGATCCCTTTCCCCCTACACTTGCTAATCCCACTTAGATTTCTTAATTTTTGATTAGAAAAGTGTGTGGGGGGTTCTTATACATGGTGGCATCTTATACATGGAAAAATACAGTATATATATTTTCAAAGAAAGAGGGAGCTGGACTAAGATCTCAAGATTTCATTGAGGGCCATAGAGGCTGCATGCAACCCATGATCCAGACTTTGCCTACTCCTGACCTAACAGGATCAGAATAATTTTCTCACTGATAGTCCAAATGAGGATGCAGTTCGTGTGGAAGGATGCAAGTGTCTCTTGAAAGGAAAGGAGGAAACATTATACCACAGCTTCGGGTACATTATCATTGTCCTCGTCAGCTTTCATGTTTCATAGCACCCCTGCCTATTGGGAGGCTTACCTGGTTGGTGAGATGAATAACCTAAGCCAAACATGTTGTTAATGGAAAGCACTTTTGCCATAGCAGTGTATGGGTGACGTTTGCTCCTCCCCTTAGCACAAATTCTCAGGGAAATATTTCCAATGTTCAGAAAAAGCTGTACTTGTATCTAAGCTAAGCAGAGATGGCGATGCCCCCTGTATGATGCAAAGCTCAGGAACAGAAAAAGGTAAAGAATCTAGTGGCTAAAGAATCCTCAGACTGTGGAACAAGTAGAAGCAACCAGAAATGGAAAAATACTTGGTTTGGAATATGTCACCCATACTGTCGGGGTTATTAGCTGTGCCTGCTTGATGGGGACTGGACTTGATGATCCATAGGGTCCTTTCCAGCTCTGCACTTCTACGATTATTATTATTATTATAGTCCAAAAAGAGTAACTTTTCCCATATCTGGCTACTTCCATGTGCTTCTTACTCTGAGTGGGGGAGGTATAAGGAATGAAGGTACGGTTGCTGTCCATTTTGTCTGCGCTATATCCTGATCAGAGTTTAGTGAGGGAAGTGGTGTGGGGTAGGCTTCAAGTCCAGTAACTATGCTCATTGAAGAATTCTGGACATTGTGGTTCTAAGAAATACCTTTTCCAAGCTCTAATCCTGATTGGCATTCTGGCCCTGTTTCCTTGCACTTATATCTCCTACTAATCTGCTATTCTGCTTTGTCTTAAATCTAATGTGAGTCCTTTCGACTGTAGACCCATTAAAATGAATGTGACACAAACACACGTCACATTGATTTCAGTGGGCCCATTCTAGCTAGGATGAAGTTTAACCCTTTGCATTACCTTTTTCATTCAAGAACAATCCTTACTCCTTCAATTAGACGTAGTTCTTCTATCATTCCACTCTCCAAACACACTAAAACAACACAGAATCTCTGTGTTTCCATCCTTGCCTTCCCCAATATATTTGGTGGTGGACAGGAGTGATTGAGTGGGGATAGGAGCAGGAAATAGTTGAATTCTGGACATAGCTATGCTAAGAAAGTCTCATGGTATGAATGTCTCATGTTAGATATAAAGACCTTAACTTTATTACATATTTATGCTGATTTGATATACTTGATCCATGAGTGTTTTTTTCAAACAATCTAGGAAGCTAGTTTGGTAAGGATATTGATTATTCTCTACTGTGCATCAGCTAGAGATAGAAAGAACTAGAGATAGGAAATATTTGATTTTAAAAATTAATTCTGCAGCCAGTTGTTACAGTTGTGTATGGGAGTTGTTATTTTAAAGAAAACATATCTAGGGGGAACAAAAGTCCTGTTATGACCCATGTTTGCTGTGTCTCCCCCCCCCCAAAAAAAGCATACATGCCCAGGAAATGAGACCAGGCAAAGGGAAAGTGGCGGGCATCGAGAATCTCTAGAACTGTCTTACTCACTCACTCACTCACTCACTCACTCACTCACTCCCTCACTCACTCACTCACTCACTCACTCACTCACTCACTCACTCACTCACTCACTCACTCACACACACACCTTCCCCAAGTGGGAGGCTGAGAGTGAAGCATAGTGTATTGAGCTTTCTCATAGGATGCAAGCTTTATGGGACTCCCATTGCTGGGTTTAACGAGAACAATAGTCAGTGGATCATGATCGGATATGTGGATTGTGCAATCTCCTTGTGCAATTATCAGTGGCAGACCTGATAATTTGACCATCTGGACAGCTAGCAGTTAAGAGAGACCAGTATAGAGCCCAGCTACTCAACAGCACCACTTTCTGGCACATAGAGAAGAAACACCACACAACCTCTTTCAGCACACTGCAGTTCTTGTTTATTCCATTGAGTTCTGGGCAGGACATGGCAAGGAGAGAGAGAGAGCAACCACTGCTTTAGCAAATGGTAGAACCAGAAGAAGAAAGAAAGAAAAAGGCATCATGAAGCATAAGGTCCCATCCCGAGTGCAATGTATATGTATATCAAACTATTATGTGATGCCCCTCTAGCTGTGCTACAGACTGATTAGAGCAACTTAGGGAAGATACGCATGTCGTCATGGCAACTTATAGCAACACCCACCCAGGATCTTTTGTACATGGTGTCTCGAAAGTGAGAGCAAGGCAGTCAGCCTGCCTGATAGCATTTCGACAGGACTCCAGTTTAAACAATCTGTCATTTTAATCTGCTGCTTCTGTATTCTGCTGCCTCCTTCAGTGCAAAGGCTCCACGTAGTTCGCCGGGAACAATCCTGCTGCATCGCTCGTCACCCCCTCACACCAGCCGTCAGAATATTTCCGTGTCACGTAAATAACAGCCCCCTCTTCAAATGAGAGTTCATTCTCCTTCTGTTGAGTGTAAGGATAGAGGGTCACGACTGAACAGAGGAGAAAGAATGGGAAGGAAGAGAGAGAGAATGTGAGAAGGAGGGATAGAAAGCCAGACCATACCGGGAGCTGCAATGTAAAACTAACCATACCAAACTCTATAAAAAGGAAGCATGCCTAGCTCTTATGGGTCCTTTAAGGAAACTGGCAGAGCGAAGGGCAGCTTAGTTTGACCTCTTTGGACTAATCCACTGGAAAGTTCTCTTGCACAAGCCCTGCTGAAATGAATGAGAGCTGTGCAAAAGAACCAGCAGATTTTCAATAGACCAGCCTAACCATTAGGTCAAGGGAGGCAGCAGCCACTGCAGACAATGGGCCGCAGATGTCATGTATGGAAGTGAGAGCTGGACCATAAAGAAAGCTGACTGCCGAAGAATTGATGCCTTTGAAATGTGGTGCTGGAGGAGACTCTTGAGAGCTCCCTGGACTGCAAAGAGAACAAACCTATCAATTCTAAAGGAAATCAACCCCGAGTGCTCATTGGAAGGACAGATCCTGAAGCTGAGGCTCCAGTACTTTGGCCATCTCATGAGAAGAGAAGACTCCTTGGAAAAGACTTTGATGTTGGGAAAGTGTGAAGGCAAGAGGAGAAGGGGACGACAGAGGATGAGATGGTTGGACAGTGTCATCGAAGCTACCAGAATTAATTTGACACAACTCCGGGAGGCAGTGGAAGACAGGAGGGCCTGGAGTGCTCTGGTCCATGGGGTCATGAAGAGTCGGACATGACTAAACGACTGAATAAACAAACGAACAAATGTCATGAAACGGCAGCATTTACTTTTCATGATTGCATTTAAACCGCCCGGGTTGGACAGAAATGCTTTCATGCCTTTCATACTAATATCATGTCTGTGCAACTTGATTTGGTGGGTCATGGAGGACACCGTGTTCTGCTCCACCTCTGGAACCACAGGGCTGGGGCTGGGCCAGCCACAAGGGCTTGTGCCGAAGGGCTCCCCAGTGGACATGGCCCCAGGTTAAGGACTGGGTACAAGGCAGAGTTTACACTTCAGGGACACAAATGTCTTTGGCAAGACCTGACAAAGGGGTTTCTAAAACGTAAGAAATATAAACATAATACACACCCATACAAAAGAGAACTCTATGGGTGTGATTGACAGAAGCTTGTCTGCAGAGAAAATATAGGGGAAGAGTCTCTTAGCATGGCCAGAGTGATTTCCTTCCACAGTGGTTTGATAACTAACAAACAGTCAAATAGCTGGATCTGTTGGTAAGAGTGTGAATTGCAACAAGCAATGCCTTCTGGGTAACCTGGAGCCCTAGCATCTAAACACCATTGCCAGAGTGTAAAACAATGCTGAGATTACATCTGCTGTCCTTGAATGGCTAGGTACCTTTTTCCAAGTAGGTTTCTGGGGGCCAGGGTAGTTTCTCTGGAGGTGGCGGAGGAGGCAAGAGCGGAGGCCCAAATGGCTCGCAATGAGTGATGTCCAGTGGTGGTGGCGGCGGCGGCGGCGATGCTGGAAAATCAAGATCTGCAGAAACAAAACAAAACACTTTGGCTCTTTCATGTATCAGAAAATCAACAGTGCATTTACTACTTGGTTTCCTGAGTCTGCTACATAGCTTGACAGAGAGAAGCAGAGCATGTCTTTATAACTGTGTCCTGTTCCCACCTGTTTCAGACCACCAGATGCCCAACTCAGCTACCCATTGCTTGCAAGCTTTTGTAACACTAAGGGCTAGAAACTTTATTTTAAAAAAAAAACAGTGTTGTCAAAGATGTTGAATTCTATACATCCAGGCACTTCTCCAAGCAGATGTTTAATTTAGTTATGTTATAGCTGTGAAAACCGGTCCTACCTGGTTCAGAGAAAGCAAGTATATCATCCAGGCCCACAGGTGGAGGTGGCAGTGTATCAGATTGAGGGGAAGGAAGGAAATCGTCTGTTTCTGGTGGCAGAGGGAGAAGTGACAGCACCAAGGGTGGGGGTGGGGGTGGCTCATGAGGTACACTCTTACTGGTATTTTCCATTTCTTCTGTGGCACTGCTGCAACATTCAAGCAAGAAATTGCTTTAAGTTTATTGACAGTACCTTGGCCAAAGGGCCAAACTTCACAAGATGCCAGCAATGCATTTAGAAACGGAGAGCCCATTGGGTCTCCAACAACACCATTCCCTGACAGGTACAGATCCGATCACTTGGAAGGTGTATACCTTGCAATGACCAACCACGAAACAAAGAAGGTAATTTGCAAGATACAGGAAGTAGGGTGTGTGTGGAATTTTGCTTATGGAACTGACATCCTTCAGTGTTTAAGAAAGACCCACTTCCATCGATGTGTTAACAAACAGTAGTCTGGTCACTGTCTTACCGTCAAATCATTCAACATTTTCACCTGTGACAAAAGCAAATGAAAAAAAGAGGCCGAAAAGCCACTAGAATTAAGAAAGTGGTGAGAGAGATGTTAAATACAAATGCTATTGAAGGATGTATCAACCAAAGAAGAGCCACCAGGGTTGAAATCATATTGGAGGTCAAATTAGAGAAGTCTCTGCCATTGTAACTAGAACCTAATAATTTATTTTCTCTCCCTGACACATTTGGTTCAAAGTTCCATAATTGAGCCCTCACACTTGCAAATGAAGCCCTGGATTCTAAAGCCCCTTTTCATGATCTCTGTGATTGACATATATGGGTTCCTTCTGCGCCTGCGCTGACCTCCTTGGAATGTTCCAGAGCCTAAAAGCCTAGTGGCCCAGCCTTCTCTCAGTGCACATGCTCCCCCCCCCAAATGGCTGTTCTATTTATGGCACTAAAAGTTGCTTTTGTTTGATTTGGATAGATAGCAAATAATTTCAACCAGATTCCCACCCAACTCCCCTTTGAAATAACAAGGATCTCACAAACAATACCTCAGGGATGATAAAGATGATGCTGGGAAGAGTTTACCATCTGGGATGAATGGTGGCTGTACTGGCTGACTTCTCCTAAAACAGAAAGAGATGAATGGTACCCAGAGTTTGCAGGTGTGAAGGAAGATTTAAATGCTATTTCTTTCTGAGAGTTGTTTTTTATTTTACCCGGAGTAGAAATATTAGAAGCTTTATAAAGAGAATACAAAGCATATATAAATTTGCTGTTTGTCTAATTAATTTATACAAACAGCCAAAGGGGGCAGGCAGTAAATGCAACTAAAACTAAAATTCAGATTGAAAAGAAAATCTTAATCAAAACAAACAAATACCTTTAAAGCACAGTTTAAAACCCAAGAATAAAAGGCAATAAGTGTCCAAGTGGTTAGACATACTTCAAGAGTAAACCAGTATTAATGCCAAGGCCTGCTTGAATAAAATATTCTTTGCCAGCTGGCAAAAGAACAAAGAACAGCCAACCTCTCCACATAATTCCACGTGCAATATATCAAATAACCCTGCTTCTTAGGGTGCCTTAAAACAAAGCTTGGAAATTCTTCAGTTTTGATTGATTGGTTAATGAATGAAACCAAGTCAAAGCCCCAAGTTCTATGTTTTCATAACAGAAGAACTGAGCAAAGAAACAGCACGTGATGCTCGTCTTGCTTTTGCCTTACTGACCTATTACTAGTCTTATCTATTATTTAATGCTAATCCTCCTCACTGTTTGGTTGGTGTTTCTTTAAAACAGGCTGTGAACCTCTTCCAACATATAGACCACACTGGCTCTGTTCAACCATGTTTTCAAGGACAACCCTGTCATTATAGCAATCACGGTAAACACCTCAGGTGACACAGGTTGTCCCATATATAATAGCCCAATATTTGGTTTATCAAAAGGATTAACTGCAACCAGTACCAGCTGCAACCTGGTCATGAATGGACTGCAAGATACATTTCTAAAGGACAGGGTACGTGCTCCAGTTGATTTGGGGTTGAGGAGTTGAGATTGCCCTTACAGGCTTTGAGGATCAACCTCAGTTGCGCTACAGGATGGGTGTTTATTCATTTCCAAAAAATAAAGCTGAAAAAAGAGGACACCTATTTTCATAAACAGTGTATGAGTTAGTTTATATGTCTAAATAGCCGTTAGTGATTATTATAATTAGAAAGGCAACAGGTCTTACTACAGCAGGGGAAGAGCATGACCTGATAATCTACGTGCCTGTTCTACTGGCTGTCTTAAGTATTTAACTGAAGGTGGACAACTTCAAGGACGTTACTTCCTTTTCATTGGTCTTTTATTTTTAAAGTCGGATTGAAATGGCCAAGCTTTCTCCAAACAGAGGACTGGCCTCTGATAGAGGATGCTTAGCTACCCTAGCAGTTCTGCTTCCATCTACTGCCCGTATGATGTCACTCACCCAAGGCTCCCTGAAGACTGCCCAGTTGAAATCTTGGTGCTACGCCGGGAAAGGGTCCCTGTTCTGGCCAGCTGTGTGCTTTGATCCTAAGAGAGAAACAAGAATGAAAAGCCGAGAAGCTATAATTTTTCAAATCAGTCCTCTTCTCCTACTGGATTTATTTGTTTGTTTAAAATATTTTTTACCCCATCTTTTTCTTTGGAAGGATTCAAGGTGGCTTACATCATTTAAAAAGGCAATATTTAAAGCTAGAAACAGTAAGTGTACAAATACTAAAAAGGATCAAACAATTATCACACTAAAAGACAGCAAACAAAAGCAGCACCAAAACACATTCAAAGCAGTATACACGAGCTTTGAATGTGTCTTTTTTGACAAAGGTTGCAGAAAGAATTCTGCTTCTGATCGTTTCACAGAGTTTTATTAGCCCAACTTCTCCTAGTGAAGGACCTACAGTAAGTCAGCTCACAACATGAACTAAGATGGCTACAACACAAAGATAAAATATTAAAATATTAAATCAAAATTAGACGTTATCCTAATTTTAAAAAATGCTGAATCAAAACAATTTGAAAACCATTTAAAAGAGCAGCAAAATACAGCATTCAACATGTAATGATGGGTTTCCTCAGCAACCAGCCAGTGCCAAAAGCCCTGTCTAACTAAAGAAGTCTTTGGCTGCTTGCTGGAGGAGACCAGTCTCTTAAACACTGATGCCATGCAAGGTTGGCTTTAAGCATCAGACAAGATGGCTCCCTCTCCATTCCATGTCCTGATGCCGACTAGACTGGCAGATAAATTTTACAGTAGGGTCCATGATAGAGGGCAGGAAGCTAGATTAAGCAGAGCAAGAGTGGTTGCGTATCCTACCTGCTTTTTTTTTTCTCCAAGAGAGAGGAATGCCCAAAAAGGCTCAAAAGCATGTTTTTATTGGAGGTTAGGACAGCCCCTGTTATTCCTCCCACCTGCTTAACAGTAGTGTTGTCTCTCATGATGACTTTGTGAACAGAGCCACCGGGGTCTTTGACCTAAAAATAAACTCTCCCAACTTGCTTTAAGGAAACACCAACCAATCACTGGCAGGCATTAACCAAGGAAACCGTTCTGTCAAAGGTATGCCATCTCAGCAGCTGGAACAATATTACTCAAGATCAGAAAGCAATTAAGGCTGATGGAGGCCTCCAGTGTTTCTTGGACAGGGGAGACTGGTCTAGCCCTTAATTTGGACATGTAGTTCACACAACCTTTGCCTCAGGATGAGTTTGAAGATTTCCATTGTGTTAAAAGTCACATCTTGCCAGTTTCAGCATGGACCCTGAAAGTGCTACAATCAAGGCTGAAGCAGGGTAGCAAATGTGTTCACCCATGCAAGTCGACATGCACAGTTGAAAATCTAGCCAAGTAATACCTCTCAAGTCCCTCTCGCCACTCCCAGCAGTAAGAATACAATAGCAACAAATACAGTGGTGCCTCACTAGACAGTTACCCCGCATGACAAGTTTTTCGCTAGACATTGACTTTTTGCGATCGCTATAGCGATTCGCAAAACAGTGATTCCTATGGGGGAATTTCGCTGGACAATGTTTGGTCCCTGCTTTGCAAACCGATTTTCGCTAAGCGACGATTTTAACAGCTCCCTCTGCACTTGCAAAACCGGTGTTTTCGGGACCTAAGATTCACAAGACAGCGATTTAAACAGCTGATCGGTGGTTCGCAAAGCGGCTTTCCTATGGCTGATCTTCGCTAGACAACGACGATTCTTCCCCATTGGAACGCATTAAACAGGTTTCAATGCATTCCAATGGGGAAAATGCTTTTTGCTAGACGATGATTTCGCTAAACAGCGATTTCAGTGGAATGGATTATCATCGTCTAGCAAGGCACCACTGTAGATAATGAACAATTTGCTGCCTGGTTGTTGTGGGTTTTTCGGGCTCTTTGGCCATGTTCTGAACGTTGTTCTTCCTAATGTTTTGCCAGTCTCCGTGGCCGGCATCTTCAGAGGACAGCACACAACTACCATTAGATCCCGGCTGTGAAAGCCTTAGCGAATACAATTTGCTGCCTGTTTATGGGACCCCAGAGTGAGCTACCTCACTCTGACTAGCAACAGCAGGGCTGGTGCAGATGGTTCCCCATGAATGAAGTCTGCTTCCAGGTAGCCATTGCTCCTTGCTGGACAAAGTGACAGCTTGCTTTAGATGCTTTCCTGGCACCCTTTCAGGAAACAACTTGAAACCAAGCCAACGGGCAAGGGTGTTGTGGCTGATGGTGTGAGAGGTAAAAGCACAGAAAATTAGCATTAGAAGAGATGAAGAGGTAAGGAAATGGTAGCCAGAGGCAAGCAGAAGAAAACACAGCACTAATAATTGGATTTAGCCCTCAATCTGTAAATAACTCATTTTAGAAAGTAATTTTCCAAACTCTGCTAAGACATTGCTGGAACATGGGTGCCTAGATGAATGTGTGCAACTGCTGAGGCTTCCCTAGTGTTCCAGATTGTTCCCTGGCGCACTTCTGACAGCACTGCACCTGCTTTGTGGGGTAGGGGTGCTCTTTCCAAACTCCTTATCAGGCCTTAAGATTCAAGTTAGAAAGTCCCCTTCCCCAGATGTGCACCTTCGTTCCAACTGGGTCAAGTCTTTCAGGGCCGCCACCCCCCCCCTCCACGCCACTTTGCTTGCTGAGCTGATGCTGTGCGCTAACAAAAGGACAGCAATAGGGCTGCGAGGCCCCCGCTGAGGCAGCGGCCTCGTCTGCGGTGAGAACCCAGCTGGGGAAGCAGACGCCGGCGTGGGAACCGAGAGCTACAGTACCACTTCCTCTCTGTTTGAAATCTCTCAGCCTCGTCAGTTTCAGACTTGTGGTTTCAGATCAGCCTAGATGGCTGGCCGAAGCTGACAGTACAATTCTCCTTTTCTCTTCAAAGTAGCTTGCAATGTGAGAAGGAAGAAGGGGTGGGGGGGAAACCCAACATTGCCTATACAGTATTTCACTTGGGTGCATTGTTACAGTGCGACTGAAACATCTTGGTTTGGTAACAGGCTCAATTTAGAATTTTATTTTTGCTCCAGAGAGAGAGTGTGAGATCTGTGACACTGTGTGTGTGAGAGAGAGAAAGGGAAAGGGAGAAAGAGACAGATCAATTTTGACTCTGCCAAAGGCCATTAAAATTTGGAGATATAACTAATAATATTTATAAGAAGACAGAACGTGAACCTATTTTTCAGTGTCATCCATATAGCAGATTTATTGGCAGTCCTTGGAATTGAGCTACTAAAAACTTTTAAAACGTATTTGCGAAGACTTTCACAGCTGGGATCTAATGGCTGTTGTGGGTTTTTCAGGCTCTTTGGCCGTGTTCTGAAGGTTGTTCTTCATAACGTTTCGCCAGTCTCTGTGGCCGGCATCTTCAGAGGATAGCACTCTGTGCTCTGGTGTAGTTTGCTTGGGAGTGGATTATTTATGGCTGTGAGATAGGCTTTTGTCCTACTCAGGAGATGGGTGATTAGTGTGTCTTGTTGTGGGTATATTGTTGTGATAAGGAGGAGATATTATCTGTCACTGTGATTGATGGGTGTCATTAGCTGGTATTTTGTGTGTATTGATCCCCGGTCCTCGTGGCTGGGTAGAGGTCGTTGACCTTTTGCAAGCTGTATTTTTCAGAGTTGGAAGTTTTGTTGAGTTTCAAACTTT